TATAAAGGTCTGTTGGCAATGTACGTCAAGTCTCTGAACTAAACAGAAGCAGTGACTTCACATTGGTATCAAAAATTTGTATCTTATTCATTGTGGTATGCTGTGTAACTCTCTATAATGACTTCGGAGTAACGGATGCTCTCGTGATCCTGTCTGGCTTTGACGTCCTCAGCCGTGTCGTGTGTGGTTGGGACGATCAATCCTGCTGGAGTAAGTGAAAGGTGAGACTTACCTTGGATCTATCCCACTAGTGGTGATTGGTTTATTGTTGTCGCTTGTTGAGTACCTCCATCACCTCTATCTTCTTTATGTTCAGCTGAAGTCCTGCCTCTACTGAAAACTTGTTGGTTTTCACCTATAGACCTTGGAGATTGTGCGACATGAGACATACATCATCCGTAAAATGTATGCCTGTCTTCTCGTACCCCACGCTCTGCCTCATGATGAAGCTTACCACAATCAGTGAGGTCACTTCAGAAACTTCGCTTAGCTTACCGTCGTGAATTGCTTGGAATGTGGCATCATTATACAGATGTTAGGTGAGGTTTATATGTTGATATAAGGATAGAATTATACCATTTTGGGTAAAATTTATTTTGATAGTCTCACAGTGTTACACAGTAATATTTAATGATGACATTTCGCACCCAAAGTATTGCTCATAATCATATCAAAGTATGATTATGATATGATTATGAGCAATACTTTGGGTGCGAAATGTCATCATTAAATATTACTGTGTAACACTGTGAGACTATCAAAATAAATTTTACCCACAATGAGGTTTATATGTCTTCGCCGCACTTCACTCCGTAGCGTTGAGAGTATTGCAAGATTATTTCACGTTCAACTTTGTCGAAGATGTATTTGAAGTTGATCAAGTTTAGGTATAAAGTTGACCACCATTCTAGTTTGTGTTCGGTGATGACATGTAATGTTGCAGTTTCATCTGCGCATGACCTGTCTTCCTGGAATACAGCACGTTGCAAGAGATGTTTTCTATCCAAGGTGTATTTCAGTCTTCCGTTAATTATTCGGACTAAAATTTTACGGTGAACAGAAGCATCTTGTGGCATCAGTTCTTGTGGAGGCTTCACTTGTCATTCATTGGTAGTACGACAAGCCAACCTTTCTTGTAATCGGTAGGCACTTTTCTTTTCTTCTACGCCTATAGCCGTTCTGGTATGAACATATTTGCTGAGGCGTTTCAGTCCATTTTCAGTGTTCCTCATAGTATTTCATCTTGTCCCGCAGCTTTTCCAGCTTTCAGTAACTTTATAGCATTCCAGACTTCATTTTCTTGTTGGGGATTTGGTGTAATACTGGTAATTCTGAGTCTGCTAGTATTCGTGGTGGAGTTAGAATAGGTTCTCTACTTGGTCCATCACACTCTGCTTCATGGCTGATCCAGAATACAATAGCCCTCAATCCACCATCAATTAGTTCAAAGTTTACAAGCAATAGATGGACAATAGCTTTCCAATTATCGACGAAAATGCTGAGCTAAGTAAAATCCTCGGTTTCTTTAGCAACGCATATTAACCATTCAACCTAAAAAGTGAAGTTAAAAGGTGAATTAAACTGCTCAGGCTTCAAGATGAAACGATGGATTTCTGCAAATGTCACTTTATCACAAGACAAAATGGAGCTACAATTGGCAAGAATAAACTCTATTGCCTGCCTTGAGATATCAACCTATCGCATTTGCACTGAAGGTACACTAAATAAGAAATCGGAATGCAATGGAGAATGAATACCCAACGTCGTTCATCAATAAACATTAAGATATAAAGGCCAATACTCCAAGAAACCTAAATAGGACAAAGAAACAACTAAAAGTAAATCTCGAATTCAAATGTAGCCTTCCTAAGCTGTCTATAGAGAGTTATTCAAAGATCACACTGTTAACAACTTCAGTGTATATTTAGGAGTCCACTTGTTCCTTTGAAGTTAAACTTATACAGTGTATCAGCAGGATTTAACTTCCTACCAGAATAGTTGTGGAAAGGAGAACCCAGAACAGTCAGAAGCTCAATTCTAGAACCTATTATTACCTTGGGGCATGCAACATTAGCGGAGACTTCAGTCAGCGTTGTGTATAAATTGAGATAAGGCAGGTAGTTTACATTTTTATCCTCCCAACGAAACTCCTGCCATCCATAAGAAAAAACCTGAACGTTTTCTACACAAACGTTATATCCAGCTTCGTTTACTATCATAAGATTAGTGTTAATTAAATTTGCTTGATTCGTTATATAATAAACTATGTTATTTTGCTCTGATGCACTTTCAATTCTTTGTACTCTTGTTACTCTATCAGTTGTCTCTAAATAACACTTAACAATTTGACTATAATCTTTCTCGATTACATGAGACTTTTCACTATATTCTCATACACTTAGATTTATCTTTGTACATAAGTGACATTAACTTCTGACGTTTATTGTTAATCAATACCATTCATATAAATTCTTAAACAAGTGTACAAATTTCATGAAAAGAAACGAAAAGAAATCTTTTTGCCGGCTTATTTCTCCTGAGAATAAAGCTATTGCTATTATTGTTAGTATTGTCACTATGATTACTGGTAACCTCCTGACATCTACACAGGGAATTCAGATTTAATGCGTTAACTGAGGTGCTTCATGCTTATCTCAGGGATATAAGATACATCCAAAGCCAGAGTTATGGCTATTAAGACCTATTTTCTAATTTGGCGATACGGTTTTACGACAAAAGCAATGATATTTATCCAGCTCAACCAGCTTATAATAACTACACAATTAGGATGACTTGAAGAAACTAGCTGGCTCGGAGATAGTGACAGATGTAGGTTGGAAGAAAAAAATGAAGGTAGGTGATGAGCTTTGTTTGTAAATGGAAGTGGGTGGATATTTGCTACTCACCTGATTTCCACATCATGTGAGTTGATTCCTTCTTGGAGAAGTATTAGTTTAGCATGACTGCAGGGTCCAGTGGACAAATTTTTGAGGCTTGTCATACGGGCTGTTTACACATGAAGTTTGTGGTGTTTCATCCTCACGGACAACTTTGCTACTATTCTCAGATTAACGGAAAGTAAGTCGGGATGTGTAGACTTTTTGGGCTGACCTTTTCTAGCGCCCACTTCCTGATGCAGTGAAGTAGTACTGTTGACTTGGTTGTTGTCGGACGGAAAGACACCTCTCTGACAAAAGTACAACTTTGTCCTCAGACTAACGCCATACAGTAGGCGACTTACCAAATGACGATAACTCTTTCTAGTATAAACGGTATCCAACTAAGCTCTCTGTTTTGGTAGGACCTGGGGGAGCATTGGTCTCTACCAGCACAGGTAAATGTCCCCGGTCGACTACCACTTCGCAGTAGTAGCCATCGATGGCAGACATTCAGTAAGAAAAAGCACGGGTGATACAGTGAAAAGAATTAGCAGTTTACTTGTGAACCAGATAAACGTGATCAAATATCTTTCACTTCTTAGTGGCATTATCTAAAAGCACTCATAAGCGTCAAGATGTATTTCTAGATTAGAATTTCATGTACAGAACTTTAATATCGTTAGAGATATAGAGCTGGAGCGATTTTATAGACCGTCATATTCTCTTGTGATTATAACAGTGATATGATTTCGTAGATTAATAGTAATAATACGAAGCTGCAATGTAGCCTTTTTGATTTTGAGTCAATGTAAGGAAAACTAATAAAACGTATCTCGACTTCACCATAATGCAAAACTGAAAATACTGTTTAAGAAAACAAGTTGTAAGGGAAGTAAGGTTTTCAAACCATGGTTTAATTACTGAAAACAGAATTACTGGTACAACGATGGAATAACTCCAGGTTTTACTTTTAAATGCTCACTGTTTTCATAAAATCCAAACCTTAAATTCAACCGCTTACTTATCCATCCTCAAAAAATTATTCCCAGTGTAAAAAGTGGAAAGTTTATGTAGTTATGAGAAGTTAAAAGTGAGAGTTTGAAAAAGACAATTAAATTTTTCGAGTAAATTCAGTCCTTTGGTGACTTATAAACTGCATTATACACGTTATTTTGCATTACTTTTATGAATAACAGAGAACAAAAATATCTTTTCTGCACTAATTTTGAATCCCAAAAGGTTATCTGCAAGCTTTACTTATTTGGATAAGTTTATCACTGACAGAGTAAAACCCCAAACAAATCTTGTACCTTTGGGTGCATGACATTGATTAATGCATTTTATAGATCACAAGCACAATAAAATGATGTACTATGACTAGTGAATTCTAGTCAGCTAACTTTATGATAATGTTCCATATTAGGTAAGTTTATTTGATATAATGCACACTAATACAGTTTAAGCAACTGGATAACTTTTGAAGCACGACTCATTGCTGATAGTCCTTTCATAATAGATGATTATGGCAATGAGTGATAAACTGTGCTCGAAACGTTATCAATAAAATACGCTGTACAACTGTGTTATATTAAACAAACTTACTTAATACGGAATTGTATTCTGCCACATTTGTCAGATTCCACCCTTACATCAATGAAATTTATGATAATAAACTAATTTAGGGATTTTAATAAAAAGCTATTAAGATGGAATATAAGAACACAATGTGAAAGTGTGAGAAGGGAAAAAGAAGTACAGTAGCACATTTCGAATTCTGAGTAGAATTTTGATTGAGTATATCTTGGTTCTATGAAAATCTGCAGCTTCTGGTTTTCAAATTTTTAAATAATTTGTCCGGGAAGATATTCAGCAGTTACGAATAAGGCTTGCAATAAACTTCAGGAGCTGACTATACTAATACTATATCATACACACATAGTAAGGTAAAATTTCAAAACAGCGTGGTGATTTCTAACTTTCTGTTGCTTTTTCAAACCTTCTATTATTTGACAAAAGGTTTTAAAATGATAACGACATCTACATCCATGAAAAATATCTTTATACTCTGATACTGTTATGCATAGATACACCACAATTCTTACAAAATGAGAAACTTCTTACTTTTCATTGCAAATGAATTTAGCCGGAGCATATGATAATCCATCAATAGTTTCATTAACAGAGCACAAGCTTGAGCTAATTAATTCTTTGTTTAAGACGACTGACCCCAGTGATTTATCTACAGTACTGTGATATAGGTAATATTGGGAAATTGAAAATATTTCAAATCGATCTGGTTACATTTTATTTTGTTCAGCTTCTTGTCGTACAGTTTGATCACCAGTAACCAGTACTGTTTGCATATTTTATAATTCGTCTACGAAATTCACTCGAAGTGTTCTACAAAAGAAGCGAATTCACCTTAGAATGTTCACTCACTAAACATAAGAAGTAAAAGCCGTAATGCAGGCAGACAGAGAAATGGGAAGACAAATACTTACTCAGATGACTTGAACAACACGATGAGTTTGTTTTTATTTTATTTTTTTATTTTTGATTACAGCTTGATGCCACACCGTATTTTCAGTACAAGTATGGAATTTTCAGCATGGATATCGGTAGCCCAAATTTTGCAGGCCGACCATAGATATCAGGTGTGCGTAGGCAGGGAATCGAACCCCGGACCATGTGCATGGTCGACGAGAGTCCTAACCACTGTGCCACAGACGCACACAGTTCGAAGCACATTACAAAAAGTTATTAGGTCACAAGAATAAGTAAGTTAATTTGAAATAATATGGCAAACCTCGTTAAATCAAAATTTTCCAGATAATCAGCCTTAGTGATTCCTTCTTAGGATACCTACAAAGGATTAGTTTTGCCTGTCCATAAATTCTATGAGATTTCTGTTTAGAGCTGGGCAGATAATATTTAGTTAAAAGTGTTGGAATCCCTGGGGTTTTATCTGTAAAATAGACCTCACCACACCAGGATAAGTGGGAATGTTCTATTCATAAGGCCAAAGTTTTATTATTCTCACTCCTCACGGATGGAAGATAAAATAACCGAGTTGCTGGTTATCCAAAGACAAAAGCTCACTACCACTGACAGTATGACTCCACTGGTAGACCTCCACAACAGCGTAAGCAATAAACTTTATAACACTAACTACTTACTAGCGGTATCTAGCCAAAATGATAAGATTTCAATGAGCATTCATTGGGATGTAATTCCGAGCAAAACATTGTGCTGGAAACATCATCCGGCTATTAATACCGTATCACTATGTGTTACATCAAGATAGCTTATCTGATATGGAACAGCCACTCTACTTAGTTTGCATAATAAGTCTTCTCGACATCCAAGGGTGACTATCACGTGAAAAAAACAGCTATACAAATACAAATTTTATTTTAGAGCAAATTCCTTATGGATATATTTTGGCGAACTACACGTGAAAGAACAAAAAACAGTTTGAATTGAGAGTTCTTCATGGTGCTGGAATAAATAATTATCACTTTTAGAATTTCAAGAAGTATCCAACAACATTTGGATAGGCTAACGATTGTTATCAAGTTTATATGACTATGCGAAGAAGTGAATATCGGATTCAGACTTAAGGAGATGTAAATGAAATACAGTCAACGGCAACAGTGAACTCTGTAGCTGTACTGATTATTTAAGTGTAAATGAAACGATTATGAGCGTAAGCATCATCACATAGAACAACTCCATCCAAATGTTAAACAAAATAAAAGACTGATTGATACATCTAGCAAGCTATGGGTCAGACAGACCAAGCGTTTAGGATCTGGAAGAAATATTTATAGTCCATGCGAAAGAGGTAATGTAACTTGGGCAAGAAAAGTTAGCTGTCAAAAATTAAGTGACGTTCATTAGTACCATGGATTGTTTAGACGACAATTTTTAAGACATGAATTTTTTTTACCCAAATGCATGTTAAAGTGTGGTAAACGCGACAAAAAAAAATGGATTTTGACTACGTACCCATTTGGTATACTTTGTTTATGTGTTGTTATTTCAATAGCATTCTGATATTCACGTCAAAATACTGGATGATGTAGGTTAGCTTGCCACTGTAGTATCGCCGGTTGTTTAAGTTGTAGCTGGAAGTCATCACTGGTGAAGGCTCAGTAAAATTTCATCACGCTTTTGTTGTCAGGTCTCACTGGCAACAGAAGCAGTTTCAAGATATGGAAGCTTTTATGACATCCCCAGAATCTGAATCGGTTTTAAAACTCTACTTGCACTAGGCAGCTTTCAATTACTAGAACTATGCTAATGAAAATCATAGTTAACTCTAATAAAGAGTGAAACATTTTGACTAATTCAAGCACACCTTATTTGCTGAAATAAATTTTCATATTTCGAATCTCAAATAACCTTTATTTCAACTGGTTAGGATTATGAAAGAAGTTGAAGGCGAAGTTTATACTAAACTATATTTTTTATTGCCGACAAACTAATTAGTAATATTGATTTTCATAACTGTACTTTACAAAGCTTGTTGGTTTCAGTGTGCGTAATGTTTTACATTGTGGTAGCTTTTATTTTCGCAAGTGGTGGTAATGTTCATGTGACAGATCCGAACATGAGACAGACACACTGAGTGGAGTTATTATTTTCACCTAACATCGTTACTTAAAATTATGTCGTGTTTACGAGTTGATATGTTAAAAGTCTATTTAATTCATTCTAAACAATTTTGCGTTTAAATTTCACAATGAACCTGAGCTAAGTCTTGTAATAATTTATAGTATTCAAATGACATGGAAACACATCATCTTTGAGAGTGCAATAAACAAGTTGTCTTTCACTGACGACATAACAACCCGGGATAAAAACAATTAGGCAAAATTTCAAACGTGTGAACAATGTAGACGAAGAGAAAATTATCGTTTAGAGTTGCACCATTACTCCCAGAATACCAATACAATTGTAAAACAACTGCTGATAGTAAAAGATTTCCGAGAAGCACCTTAATTTAGTTAATCCTTGGGGGTAAGTACGTAGAATTTCGGAGGGAAACTTAAAAATAGAGACAGTTAGTGGTAGATTTGTGACCAACATCTCACGTGGTCCGGGGTACCATTGTCCTCTGATGTAGTCATAAATTTCTCTTAGCGAAAAGTAAGCTCTCCAAAGACATAAGGTTGGCTGCGAATTTAGCAAAATCACCAGGCGAAAACACCACCGCTACTGAAACTTCAAAACAAAAACCTGAAGCCTTATGTTCCTCTCCGAATGTAAAACAATAAAGCAATCGAGGCTTCAGTCTAGGAGAACCTTGCCTGCTGGTTCGAACACTGTAGCGAGATCTAGGTTCACTGGCTGGGATCATTGAGACAGCGAAATCAAATGTCATTGACTGTTGACGACATGACTACAAATTGTTCTTAATGATGAAGATGTAGTGACTCTTGACGATATCCCAAGTTCATTACATATTAATTATGCAAAATGCAATTGTCTTTCCTCCGGCAAATTTCTGACGTTATTTTTGCCTTTTTGAAGTATGGTGACTTCGAAATGGTACAAATGTGTGAGTAGTTCAAAGCTGAATATTCAGTTGGTCATTTCATTCAGACTAGAAAATGACGTCTCAATAGCGTCTCAAAATTGCTATTTCAAAAACATTATTATTACCCATTATAAGGTATTCATCTATATGTGGTTATATTTCATTTGATATTAGGTATTTTCATCAGAGATAATTGTGGAAGATAATGAGTATTCGAAGTAAACCAGTTAAACTAATCTTGGGCGCACCTGAGAAATTTAAGGCAACTTGAAAAAAGTCCTGGAGAAAACTGAAGAGATATGCCAGTCCTACGTTAATGTATCTTCAAGCAAGTACATGTCTGATGATATGATAAAATATATTATTTATGATTAATCAAAATCTCAAAGATTCTCCACTTCACCCAAAGTCTTCGCGAAAATTTCTCCACTGTACCCAAAGTATGCTGAATTCTATGATACTCAGCCAAAGTGTCTGCAAAGAAATGCAAACAAACTGGCAAATCTATCAAATAATAAATTACTTTCAAAAGATTTCATATGAAAATCACTTTTGTGATTTGCAAAATGTACGTTGCTTTCATGATCAGTAAGTCTGGGAAACACTGTACTAAATGCCACTTTAGGCCTTGTGCTGGCTTGATATCAACACTGAATAATTTTTCTAGCTTTTATAGTAATAAAGATTAGGTTTCTGTATGAATATCAAGAAGAAAACAGCATTGTTAACCTTCGACGAGTTATAAGTGCATAGAATGAAATGATATATATTTCATAATAAAGTAGCACCAGGTACCTGGTGTGAAAAAACCTTCTTGAGCGCCATTTACATACAATTTGTAAGCTACTCGCCTAAATTAAGGACGTGCCGCGTAACAACCTTGAGAAACTATGGTAATAAAGTAATCGAGGCAGATAAACAAACTTAGTCACTCATGTAGGACATTCCCGTCAAATTCTCATTTCATTTTCGTCAGTTTCTATAAAGATCTTCACAGCAACGTTTAAAACAGGTGCCCAAATACTCAGCAAATATAAATTTAAATTGAAGTTATTACAAAACAGTTCGCTAGAAGAATATTGAATTCGGCAATGAAATTCCAAAGCTTACCCCACCTTCCCGACTACTTTTGTTTTTCATCTTATGACTGCAGGTGTTTTCAGGTCACCACGCCCATTTTGTACTCGTTTATATACTATCCACGCATTATTTTCCCTCGGGTTCTGGTGAGCAACTCAATACTCGCGAATTTCGTACTTTTTGTTCCGCGAATGTTATTTTTACTCTTCTAGTTTCTCTGCTATGTGTGACAGACCACAATAGGTCATGAGGTTGATACAAATGAACAGCATGTTTTTCCAATGTTCCTTTATCGAAACGCTGTGATTTCATAAACGGAATCCGATTCCCACGAGAAACGTTTACACCACATGGTAAATATACACACTCTAGTGCAAGATTCGCGTATGAGCCTTTGATAACATATGTCCATCTGACAAGTGAGGAATGCTTATGAGTTTCGCGAATGGTTCTCAGGATGAAAAACGCTATATGCGGTGCACATTAAGTAGATCCATTATGTTAGGAAAGGTCTGCTGTGGACATGCTTGAGTGTATGTAGGAAATTATGCAAGACAAAAATTTCGAACGTTTACCGAAGACTGGGAACTCCTTCCTCACAACCTAGAAGCAAGGGCTAAAAATCAATTTGGTTCACACCAGCTCATAAAAACGACGCTGGATATTAGAAGATGAATGCCGATCATAGCAAGAATCTATTGGTATAAAACATATAAGCGAACAATATTATTTTCAATTCGATTTTCTGTAGGCCTCACTGTAATTTACATAGCTATATTTATAAAAAAATTTAGCAGATGACAGTCAGTTTGATCCACAAAATCATTGACAGAATTTAAAGTGTTGTTCGCTTTTATAAATTTTAACAAAGGAAATATTTAAAGATTCTGTTGATCAGTCCAAATGCATACTTAAGCTCTAAAATCTGAACTAGAGAACAAAAGATGCTGTGATTCCTAAGGAAATAAAAACACTGATGATATTCATTACAAAATTGCATCCAGCTTGGACAGCTTTTATATTACCTTGAAAGAAAACACTTCGTCTTGAAGCCATTACTACATATTAACGAACATTCCAACATACTTGAACTAGGCAGCATTCTAGTTGTGTTTAGTTAACATATTTATGGCAGCCTAATCTGAGTACATAGCTTGTTTGGCATCATTATAAAGCTAAAGGGTAGTTGTTTGGTGAAGTACTCATTAGAAATAGATCAGATAACTGAGGGATCTGAGACAGTTTTCAAATTTAAAAAGTTTGAAAATGTTAGCCCATTTAATCACCGAATATGTGAGTACTTCTCAGAAATCACAACTATTTATTACAACATGGATTTTGCAGTCAAAAATAAATAAAGCCTTTTGGAGCATTATACATGTAGAACTTGCACAACGTTGTAGATTCACTGAGTACTTTTCTACAGTTTGAAGTCACCCTTTTATATGGAGCCCTTTACATCACAGTGTCATAAAAAATGATAAATTAGAAATAACTGCCATTCTTCCCTCCTAGCGGTAACGATAAGCACACTGAATGAAGTGTTCCAATTGCGTCTAAAATCAAAATGGGCGGAAAATCTATGCTTTCGGGATAAATTTGGAGAGTTTTATATTAAAACAATGTAACACCGAATTTTACTTATTCTTAATGGACCGTTTTGATGTGTTCTGAAGATCTTTTGATGTAGTTAATTGGAATTATATACTGTAATACTACATGAACCTACCGACAAATTCTCATTCTGGATTGTGTGCGCCGGTGGCGCAGCCGCTAGGACGCTCGCCGATCATGCACATGGTCCGGGGTTCGATCGCCGGCCGAGGCACACCTTAAAATCAATAAGCCAGATATGAAGCTGGTAAATAGGAAAGGTTGGGTATGACGCTAGCAAACCCATCCTGCTACAGAAACTTCCAGCCTCTAGCTTGAAGCCCAATGTTCCACTAGAAACGTGAAGAAATAAAAATAGACAAAATCTTTCAAGACATAATAATAAGCAGTATTATCTATCAGCATGCAATACTTCTCATTTCAAAATTATACCATGATTACACCTGACCGTAAACTTCAAATTCCCCCATAAGTGATTGTTAATAATAGATAACAGTTAACTTTGCTGTTACAGACAGAGTGGCATCCAAATACTTTTAAGTGAAAAACAGATATTCACAGGCCTGCTCGCGAGCTTAGGAGGGGCAAAGTACAGTGTTCGCAAACGCAAGTTGTTATCCCCCAATTCCTATAGTATTTGTTCATCTTCGATCAAAGACAAATGAAAATACCAGATTGATCGTCCAAAATTCAAGATACATTTCGAGGTTAGAATCATAGTATGATGATGATTGCTTAGCTACCTAGAAATCGTGTACGACAGAGCCCCAAAAGACGTGGTTGGTTGACCACGAGCCTAACGAGTCAACTTAAAAAGTGAAGGTCAGCACCCAATGTTGAGTGATGAATTCTATAGGCTAATAATTTCGGGAAATTACTTACGGTTATATACTCATACCAGTCAGTCACATGTGTGTGTTATTATGCTTTGTTTCTTTACTGCTGTTCATGATATCAAGTTCGTCACACAGTGAGATCTGAAATTTCAGTTTCAAAAGAAACTGTGATACAATTTCACCTTAAACTGCGTAACTGGAAAAGAAATGAGAATTTGACTCCATGCACTACCAGTCTGCCCAAGTAGCTGACCAGAATTAAGGCATTAAGAACTGAATAGGCTCTATGAGCTGAGGTCACGAAGCAGTAACAGGGCCTTCAGGTGTAAATACATTGTTTTCAATTGATCTGACTATTGCAATTTCTTCCCATTAATACGGTTTACTGTTTCCAATCGATTAGATCATTCTCATTCATGTGCTGGTATTTTTGACCAGCCTGAGTAATATCTATTGTGATTGTTAAATATTAAAGCGAATATTTATATACACGACAATGCAGGCTCAACAAATTATTGGATTTAACTAACACCAACTAATAAGTTTGAAAACTCATACTGCGATATTCAGACATACTCCAATAAGTAGGATGAGATTATATTCAAAAATTAACGATAGTGGAGATGGTGACCGACTGGACATTTGTATGCTTAAAATCCAGCATCTATCCACAAACACATTGAACTCTATGGTTGGGTGATAGATTTTTACTTGAAAATATATGGAAAGCATTCTTTATGGAGAGAATCGTAAGAGGTGCATGCAAATGCCATGCTGAGAATATCCTAAAATACTCTAAGGAGTCTAAATCTATGCAAGTTAAAATTGAAGCTAAAAACTACTAGTTGGATGTATATATCAGGATCTATGCGAGGAGATAATATTTCAAAGTCACTAGTTAGGACTACAAAATCACTAAGAATAACACCAGCACAAGGTTATTCTGATAATCCAAACACTTTCAGATTATTTTAAATAATTAAGAAATCATTGTGATTCAGTGCTCAAATTATTACGGGAAATTCGTGAAAACTGTGACTTGCATACTAACACATCATCATTAGTAGTCCGCCGAAGTTACTTAACCGACAGACACCACTGTCGTAGGCGCGACCTAAACGACTGTTTCAAACGTTGTATATGATAAGCAAAAGAAGAAGCTGCTTCGTAGAATTTCCAACAATGCAAGACGAGACTTCACCAAAAGGGATGCTTGTCAATTAACCAATTACATTTTCCTGCAAACAGTAGAAATTAAACTATGGAACTAAATATTCCGGGCATATACTTCGACTACACACAAGAGCACACCTGAACTGACAGAAACGTGCAAAAGCCCTTCTACAAATATCTTTGAATATACTACAAATGGGCCAAGAACATGCAAACTTTCAGAGGGCGGGGGGCTACATATCAGCTTAAATTCACAATTAGTCAGTGTGATTATAATGAAATTTCGGTTGGAATGTTTTAATATACCTTTTTTTCCTTCACGTTCCCCAGTGGAACACAGGGCCTCAAGCTAGTGGCTTGAAGTTTCTGTAGCAGTGTTCATTTTACAGGATGGGGTTGCTAGCCTCATGCCCAACCTTTCCTCTTCAACAGCATTATTTCTGGCTTAGCGGGGTAAAGGAGTGCGTCGGCCGGCGATCGAACCCCAAACCATGTGTATGTTCGGCAAGCGTCCTAATCGCTATGCCACCAACTCATTTTAATATACTTTAGTCCTCACAAATTGTCACAGTTGACTCCACTTTTCCTACACCTCCAAGCATGATTTATTTGTATTGTAACTGATTGTACCACTCAAATACACAAAAATTTCTTGATTTTAAAATAATTTATTTAGTATGGTCATATATGGAGTTCTGTAGATTTATAGTGAACAGTTCATGTTTATGTATATTTACATTTTCATTTGCACATCAACAAAGTACAGCATTCACTGAAAATCACAGAAAAGCTACAAAATATACAGAAGAGGAGAATATAATGACAAAAGCGGGATGAAATCTCAAAAGAAGTCGCTTTCAGTTAATCTCAATATCGATATGAGTGACGTTCGGAAACTCTTTCTACAAAGGAGAAACAAATAAACAAACAAATGAATACAGAGAATAACTGTGACTACACAAGCAAATGTTACACTGTTCATTTTAAGTTACATACATTCATACTACGTAAGTGTAGACTAACGGAGTAGCCAAAAATAAATTACATGACTGCCACAGATAGGAGAGTGTACATGGAAATGCTTGCGATCTATACAAATCTCCAAGCGGAGAGTTGCCTTATATAATAAAAAAGAAAGCCACTTGCAATTCCATGCAGTTGGCAACGACGGCTGGAGAAGATAAGAGATTGGTTAACGGATCTTTATCAGGGGAAACCAAATAATGTTTATACATTTTTAGCCACATTAAAGTTTGGCTAGGTCAGCAGAGGATAAATTACTGTGATTGACTGGTGACTAGTCCATGGGTAAACAAGCTGTCCAACGAGATTATTTCATGTCCACAAAGTGAACTAAATCCAGATTTGCGTAATAGACACTTCTACTTTTGCAGTCATTCACTTAATATATATTGATTTCAATTTCAACCGTTTCCTATCGATCTACGGCACAATAATATACTACCTGGCTTCTCAAACCACGTAGATGGAGAGGGGTTCGAGTCCATGAACCAATGATTGGAATTCGACCACCTGAACCAATGAGCCGAGGCTTCACGGGTTAATATATGTAGCATTACGGCAACATTTACGAAATCTTCATTAGAAAACAATAGTTCACTGGTAACTAACAGTAATAACCTTTGGACCATTACAACACTTTGGTGATTAGCGATAAAAGCTGAAAAATTACATACTGACGAATGATGATTATTTCAGCCGAGTTTAATAAACCAGTTAATACCATTGCAATAATGAGATCCACCAAATATATTAGTAAACGAGGATACGATGTAACCATTGCGACAGAAATAAGTTGTGTGAAATAAGCGAGTGATGAAAAGTGAAGCGCATCAATCTACGATAACTACAGATAGGTACACTCGAAACAGTTTTTCTTTGTTATCTCATTAGAGTTAAATTAACATTAGTCATTATTTGTTTACTTATAAACTAATCAAGTTACATTACTTTGATGAATACGGGGGTTATTAAGAAGCAACACACGAATACAATACATACCTTAATTTTTTCTTCAATCTGATTAATTTCTGCTCCAAGTGTATTCACCAAATTATCGCCATGCTTTAACATGAAATGAGCCAACTGTTGCTCAGTTTTCACATTTTGCACCTCCTAAAAATAAGCGAACATCAACAACAGAAGTAACTATACATCAATCTTAGGATTTTACACTGCGTAAAATCATGAGTGCTTCAGTATTTTTAGCGTCTGCTATTAATTAATACCCGTCACAAAGGCTATTCTCCTTGAGGAATATCAAGACACCGCCTTCCTCAGTGAGCAATGTTAGCTGACATACAATTAAGTTAGAAAAGAGTTATGGGTGGCCAAACGAAAACCTGGCATCAATCCATAAAGTCTTTGACAGTTGGTTTCATACACCTAGGGAGGTGCAGACTGCCAGGTTCGAGTCCTCCGGAATCTAAGGACCAATGGTTTGAGACTGTTAGTCACATGACTCAAAATATTTCTCGATTGCGCAGATGCAATCACTCAGATCCATTAGGTCTTCATGTTATTCCACTTTACTATTGTTTCTTCCGTACATTTCTGCTCAATTAGTTCTTTCGAATTTTTCTTTTCTTTCTCTTTGTGTGCTACATTAGGTGTGGCAACTTGAACTGCTGCACTTCTGTGCAAACTTCTACGCTGAAACTCAGTCAGTCAGTGAGACTTGACGCAACGAAATTCGAATGCTACTGACCCTTATATCCAAAGGAAATGTGAAACTACACCACAAAAGAGAGTCTATGTAAACAGAAGATCGATACTCAAGAAACGAGGAATAAACAAAATAACTCATACAGAATATTCATAACAAGAACATGTGAAATATTATAGTGGAGACCTGTGGTGAACGTTTTTAACTTAAGATACCACTCGAGTTTAAACGAGGAGACTTGCCTGACGTTCCTGTCAAATGTCTTGACAATTCTTTTAATCAAAGATTCGACAGTTGAACAAAAGATAAAGTGGAGTATAAGTGCAGATTACTTACATGAAGCAGGTCATCCAACGATAAAGTCTCTAGATAACGTTTAGTTAGTTCACGACCATCAATATCTACTTCTGCTTTGAATCGTATCTCTTCACCGCCAATCATTGTAGCTTTAATGTCATACGTCCCACGGATAATTTTCACATTATCTATTACACGCATAATAGCTTCTTGATTTTCAACAGGAATAGCTCTAAAAGATAATATGGGTAAATCCAAAACTAAGATGTAATTTGTTTAATGTGTTAACACAATGAAATTTTGACATCAACGATTATTACTTCAACGTTTACTAAAACTATTAATAGGCTGTAGTTGGTTGAATAATCTGAACACAAGTAGAAAACTAATGTAAGTGTAGGACTTGAGCCCTGTGGCAGAGTTTAATTCCATTTTAGGTACGTTTATATGATTTAACACAATGGTGCAGTATTAATCACCGAATGGCGTTTCGAGCAAAATTAATTACTCATAATCATATCAAGATTAGTAATGAAAATGATAAAGATAATACGAATAATATGAAATTCAAAGCCTGTGTAGTTGAGGGAAGAAAGGAAGTGGTTCTAAGTCGGGTTCTCAATGAGGCTAACATTAAGGTGGCATTTAAACTAGTCAACTCTCTGAGATAAACTTTCTCGGCTTGAGGACTCGATACATCGTATTAAGCAAAATGATATAGTTGATCAAATACCATGTAATGACTGAGGTTAAATAACCTAGAAAAAAACTTGGGCACTATGGCAGAGTATAACTCCATTATGGATAAGATCCTATTTTGATAAATCACACAGTGTTATACAGTAATATAAACTGTATTATTATAACACTGTGATTTATCAAAATAAAATATTATCCATAATGGAACCTAGAAAAAAGCTCACCTATTGCATTGCATTCACTTGCATGTAGTCGAGCAATAGGGTGGGACAGGCTGGAAGTATTAAAAAGTAATATAGTTAGGAGGAGAGAAAAGCTAATCACTGGATCTTTGTTTATCGGATGAACATCAAACAAGTGAAATTGAAATGATACAACGCCTATACCAGAGAAATGGAAAATTGCATCAAACAACAAGGGGAAGAGTGAGAAGAAATGTACCCCATAAGGGAAATTATGAAGCAGTGTGACTAAACTGATATGATTATGAGCGATAAATTCTGCTTGGAACGCCATCCAGTTAATAATACTAAATCATTGTGATAAATCAAATGAACTTATCTAATATAGAGTTGAAAAACGAAGACACGCTACGCAGATGTCTCCTCCTAGTTCAGCAATTTCAGAAGCCATTAAACTACACAATATGACGAGTACAGGTCTCATACGACGCATGCTATTGTTCACAACATATTTTTATACTTTAATCAATATGTGATATGAAACAATTTATAACTAACACGATTAACTTCTTAAATTTCTCACTACTAACTGAGTTTCTTCTTTAATTCAGAAGTATATGGCTGTTACTTCACTGAAGAGTTTGAAAATAATAACAGTAGCTTCATTCGTTTGTACACATTATGAAATCCTAAGCGTGTTAAATTGCGGAATATTTACTCTTCCCAAGGAAAGCTTTAGGTAAAGTACGAATCCACAGCACATTACTTAACGCTATACTGTTTAATTTGGAGCATGCTCCAAATCCTCAACAAATATATATGTTTACATCTCCTCCATGCAACACTCGGACGCCGAACTCATCGTTCCGCGTGACGTCACTGAACGGTCTCCACAGCATTAGTCCAATTCACCTCCATTTCCTTTCCGCTTATTTGTTAGCCAATAGTTCCTTAGTCGGTTTGTTGCCAGAGTTCCTTGTTCCTTATCCTTTCTGGTCATCTTCAGCACGGAGAGAAGACAACTATTCATGGAAGTCTGCAGTGACCTGTTTGAAATGCTTTTTGTGACATACGAGCCGAGTCTCTAAACCATATAGAAGCACTGACTTGATAATATTAGTGTTGCAAATCAAAATCTTGTTATTTATGCCAAAAGCAGATTTCCAGACTGATTTCAGATCAGTGAAGGTCTATCTTGCTTTTCCAATCCTACCTTTTTCATCTTCATCTACATCACCTCTAGTTGAAACGAGGCTACTTGGATAAGTGGAAGAGATGAACTTCAAATCTCTCACATTGGTGATGGACTGGTGTTTGTTGTTGTTAGTTCAGTATCTTCATCACCTATGCCTTCTCTACGTTCCCTTGAAGTGCTGTCATCGTTGCTTCTTCTGCCAACTTGGTGGCATTTACCTGCAGATTTTCGAGTATGTGTGGCGTTAGACATATCTTTTTGGAACTGCCGACAGTGTTATTAAATCGTACAAACCATAAATGAATTCCAAATGACTGTTTCTGCCTGCAGTTATCGCGGGTCATAAGAAAGTTTGCTATTCCACATTATTTTCGACATTCATCGCTTCACCTGAACAGGTTATCTTAATCCCGACGCAGTGAATGACAACGACAAACTTAAAGATAATTTTCATGACTCAGACTACTGATTACTATGTTTACCATCAGACCGAACATCTCAGTTTACTTTACTTGAGAAAATGAGTATGCTAAATTAACGAGTTGTATTTGTACTGAAATAAGAAAAGCAACAGATTAACAAAGTTAAATGAACACCCGGTGAACACCCATTAAAGCTGTGCATATAAGAATGTGGAAAACTTTTACTTACACTAAGCGGAAAATTATTCTCAAAAAGGGGTTAGTAAAGTTGGTAATCACGTCTATAATTTGCTGTTACACCACCGAATTACCTGTTGCTGAAAAACAACACACAAGTTGGCTTAAATTTGCAATTTACACAGTTCAAGATGAAATTTCACCAGTTTCCTTTGGGAACTGAAATGATTCAGACCACAGTTTGCGATCTACTTCATACCATAGATCACAATCAGGAAAGCAGGGATAAATGCATGCTGATTGAGATTGGTATGTTATATACCACTCATATCAACCAGTAGCGCCGAGGTTTCACCTAAAACTGTGTAAACTGCACATGTGATTTATCGTGTTACCAGTTCGCCAAAGTAGTTAGCTAAAATCGGGTGTTTTGAACTGATCCGGTTCTCCGAGTTAAGTCGAACCAGGTACACCACTGATGGCCTAGGCCCCGAACGAGTGAAACAGCCATGCGATGTCTAGGTTACTTTGATAGTTTGGCTAGCAAGCACTGCTAATTGATGTGCGTGATATCTAACTACTCATATCAATTATTCAGTGGTATACAGTGTCAAATACATACGCTAACTACTGATTGTTCAAGCCGACATCATAACTGGAGATTACTAATGGTGTGTTTTGGCAACACTTATTAAGATGACCGCATTTCTTCCATAAATTCATGATAATACAACCTACCTTCCAATTAACATTTCGGTATTCGTATGTATAATTAGACCAGCAACTGCAGCAAGAATCCCACTAACGCATATCCCTCCAATTGCATCCGGCAACACATGCCCAGTATACGCAGTTGCAGCCATAGCAGAACCTGCCACCAGGACACCAATAACTGCGGCCAAATCTTCCAGCAAAACCATACTGGTGCTTGGATCAACTCCTGAAAACAGCCAATGCCTGACAGAATCAAAGTTTAGACGTTTTGCACTTTTTGCAGCCTCACGATACGCAAATGCCAATGTGCCTTTAAAGAAAAGTATGGCAAAGATAATTACAAGGATATTCAGGAAAATTAGAGAAATGAATATACAAGAATTTACGATAAATTGATTCAGATAGGAAGTCTTCTTTCTAAACTTGCTTTCGACCTTAAATGTGTTAGCATACAATTTTTTGTTGAGGCAAATGTTGTAAAAATCATCACATCACAAGCTGTGAATATGTTGGAAATAATGCAGCATGAGGTAAGAAATATACAAATAAACTAATCAGTTTTCTTGAGGAATGTCAACCTTGAATGAACACTATACTGGCATTAATGAAACTCAGAAATGTCTAAAACGCTGATTAAGACAGTTGATATAATTATGACACCATTGTAAACAATAGAGCTTGATTACCAAAGTTTTCGTAACCCTAAATATCCTGATCTGATCAACAACAAATACCACTAGGTGAACATTACACCAAAACTGCTTAACACAGCTTATTTAATGAGTGGATTAAGCCATCATTCTGCTTAGATCTCATAGTGACTGTATGTCAGAAAATCGAAATAACTCTAAGTAAACTTATTTTACATAAACATTTGTCAGAAGGAACGAAAAAAAACATTTCTATACATAAAAACTAGTATGATATACTGTGTTGACAAAGAACTCACTCCCTTCAGATAGAAGCGATCCAAGCATAACCATTAGGCCCTGAGTGAGAAAGACAAAATAGAAAAGACTAGGTCAATACGAACATACTAGAGGGAATCTATCATAAGTATTTGTTAATAATATCGAGTTATTAAGATCAAAAGTAGTATAGTTCGAAAGCATGTGTAAGTAATAATATGCAAAGAAATGTATTACAATATTGAATATCAGATAAAATTAAGAGTTTATGCGACAAAGATAGTTAAAACGATAGCAGGTTCTAAAAGTTTTAGAGGCAAGGGTAAATTGTCAGATTTCGACAATCAGGTAATGACGGTTAAAGTAACGAGTTCCTGACCTGAGGATGATAGAATAAAAAGTATATATGAAAAACCTACATCGTTTGGTCAGCATACTTATTTTTAGAGTTCCATACGTCTGAAAGCTTAAATGCAATTTAGAGCAACAGTAATCCACCCTAATGGCTGTACTGGCAAGATCTGAAAAGCAAGACAACTTCAATAATTTGAAATCAGCGTGAAAATCTGCCGCACCCAACATTAAGAGTAAGATTCGGATTGTCAGTTAGCGCTTCTATATATGATTCAGAGACCGGGTGAGGGCATCACCAAAAGCTTTCCTAACCGGCTTCACGCTTTTATCAACAGCTGCTTTCATTCGACACTGAAGAACAGATGGCTGGTCAGGAAGGATTAGCAACAAGGAAGTCTGACCACGAACTAACAGATAACCTATTGCACAGTAAATATGCCTAAGAAAATGGACATGGATCCGGCATACACTGAGAAGATCGTTGAGTGACGGCGTGAGCTAGCCCCCCCAATGGAAACCAAATAGGAAATGGCAAGTTGGGCATCCGATTGTGACATGGGGTTGTGTGGAAAGCAAATGAGAATTTGTGAAGCCAGCTAAAGAGGACTACTGAAAACAGGGCGAAATGGAGATGTTCTGATGAAGTCTTATATGTTTCACTCACAACCTAAACGAATAATAACAGTTTGTCTTATATAAAAGAAGCTAAACTTATGTTTTCAGAAGAAACCTTGGTCATAATTACTTGATTACAAAAATTTGACAATTCTCATTTCCCATAAGGTCATTTGAAAGCCTATTATTATTTTAACTATCTTTATTTGTCTCATAAATTTTCTTCATAGTGTTATGTAATATTCAATTGAGAAATACATTTTAAAGAGTATGTGTTAATAGACAGTTTGACTTTCTTTTAAAAAGAATGCATCCATCGATCAATAGTTTTCGAATAGTCGAAAGTCTGTAAACTACGCACAAACACCAACCAAAAGTTCAAATAACTGAAATAAATAATTATTTAATTAACCCAAATATCTTTAAAGTGTGAGGTGTTTACACAGTTGTGCTATACAGTTTGTCATCTGCGTTCCGTTATTGCAAGTTAACACATATAAACAGACTAACACGACAAGTTTATGAATGAAATGACGATAGATACAATAGCTACATAAATGCTCCAAACATTTCACTTAGAATTATCACACTTATAGAGTTCAAAAATTAGTTCTTCAGTTGAATGTCAATTGCAAATTAATTCGGGATTCTCTATAGTAATTCCAGAATTAGTCTTTTATAACCTCATGACCACTAAACAGCACTCATACATACCAACATATTCAATTCAAGGTGAAGGAAAAAAACATTGTTTGATATTAAATAACATAATATATTTCAAAATATAGCGTAAGAAATGTTACACAGTAGTGACACTGAGTAGCAATTGCACTATATGGTGAATCAGTGAAGTTACGAATCACACAGCATTTAATGTAAGATTGGTCCCAAAATTATACTACGTTTTTTCTAACAAACCTGACAACCCAGGGTTGTATTTTTCCACACATACTAGATATACACTTCTGAAAAGCTACGAATACAACGAAGCAGATATCCACTAATACTTAGTTTCAAATAGTCCCTCTGACGCAATTTATCTTAACTACCAAAAATTATAATTCATTGACAGAGTTACGAAGTTCACGATGAGATATCAAAGCCTGAACGGCACCAAATAATTCACATCTACATCCAGAGCTGTTAATCTTATACCATCTAGTTCAAAGAACATAGATCGAGTTCATTTGATGTGGGTACCACTAATATAGGGAAATCAATAATAAAAGGCTGCACAGAACTCTACGTCATCTACCTAAAACAAAATATGGTATTCACGAAGAAAAACGTGAACCGGTGGTTTTCAGAGTGAATTACACTTTCTAACTAACACTAATTTAGGAAATAAGATAGTATTGTTGAAGCTGAAAATATAAAGCAGTGTGACATCAATGAATCAGTCAAGCTGATTTCAATTGACTAAGAAACAATCTACCATGCTATAATCCAATCAGCAAATTAGCGTTGTGACCAAGTCTAAGCGTCAAAAGTTTAGGTGTTTTCGACTCGCTGTGGAATGAAGACTTAAAACTTTTAAAAGACTACTCTATACTTTATGCGTATTGGAAATCCCTCAAAGTAAGGAAAATTTATTATACAAATCGGACTAAAGCGCTGATTCTATTAGGAGTCTGAAATTCCCACACAAGAAGCTCGAAATTGCAAGAATTGATAAAACAAGAAGACAGTAGGCATGAGTGTGCATGTAAAAATCAGTGCAAAGGGACAGCACTAGTGACTATGCAATATAAAAAACTGAGAAAATTCATACTGAAAGCACGACAGTGACATGTCCAATTCAACTTTGAAAAGCAAAAACGTATTGATGACATTCGCTTTCATTCCCAAGTGATTATTTGCTACGTAACATGCTCTGTTTTTGCTTAGGATAGTTTAAGCATATCGCTGCAAGGCTAGCAGAAGTGTTTTCGCCTGCAATTACACATATCTCATTTCATTAACACACAATCAATATACTTTCAGCTAATAATTGATATTACAAAATGTGACAGTAGTCACTGAGTTTAGATTTGACTAAATGATTAGTTAGTGACTTTATGATGACCTATATATTAGTACATGTCACGAAACAAAGCTGTTTATCACAAGACCTACACCTTTCTAAAGCGACTATCCAAAATATTCAACAATAATTGACGTTTTGAAAAGGTGATTCTCAAACTGATATGCCCAACATTATTTCAGCCCATCAGATCGGTGAAAATAATGAAAACAAAGATAATTACAAAGGTATGGTAGATAAAGATGAACGTTCCCTGGGGTCTAAGGGGCTTCAACAGGATATCTCCATTTGACTGTCCTCTGCAGTTGTTTTTAGCTGGTTGTGCGAATTCCTATAAGCTTTCGTCTCCCCTCTTGACACGATCTCCTCCATTTTACCCTCGGATGCTCAACTCGTTGTTTCCCATTCATGTCTCATTCTAGAGACCGTTTATCACAAATATTTTTTTAACTCAATATCATACAGACGGACCACAATTACATGCTATCTGTCATACAATATAATCAGCAAACACTTTGACACTTGGTGTAGTACGAATCTTCTTCTTCTTCTGTGGCTTTGTGTACTCAGTGAAGTGTGGTGACTCGAACTGCTGCACATGGGTGCAAAGTTCTACGTTGAAACCAGTCAGTCAGTCAGTAGTACGAATCGGATTAAACTTGTGATTGTAGAAACTCTTATGTGTTCACAGTACACAACGAACTTGCTAATTAGTCGTTATAAATACATTAAATGTTAAAAATAGCAAGACATTTACCGTGAAACTAAGGTACAGAAAAAAACTCACCAAATTGACAGATTCAAACTCATGTGGTTGTAGAATACCGTGTACACTATGATAAAAAGTAAGACCGGCACCAAGGAAAAAAATAGCTACACCACTAATCAGGGATGACACATTACGCATAGGGATATAACCATATCTATAAAAAAAATAAAAGAATTTTACTGAATTCATTCGTGCATAGATATGACACTTCGACTTGAAATGTACTTGATTAATAAAAATAAACTCGTTGATACCATTGCTTGGGCATAGCAAAACAAACAAATGACCAAATATAGTATAACTAGAAACATAATTTTCAGCTTCACTTTAACTATCTCCATAAAAAGGAGAATACTAATTAAAGAACTACCCTATATGGCTATTTCAATTATATACCGAAATAAAATATGCGTGAGTCAGTGACTGAAATGGGAACTATGAGAAACTACTACTATGAGGATAAATGTGGGCACACAAGTTGAATTTACTGCATACTCCATAAATAGTGGACACTGGGATTACTTGGAAAAGTTATTTTACTGTACACAGAGGCGTATCGTAACTAAAAAAATATTCGAAAGTTATTCGACTGACAGGTTTCATTTTTATTTGCTAGTCTGGTTTGCATATTGTAACTACAATGGAGTATAATGGCTAGCAGGATTATTTTTGAAAGTATTAAAGTGACACAAAAGTCAGTCGGATGGCAATACGACATAAAGCAGCTACCATAGAAATATAAGTTGATAATGCAACAGTAGGGTCTTTGGGTGCTTGTTAAGGAAGAAATGTTGAACTTTACACAGGTTAATTAGAGCCAATGAACAAAACCCGGCAATCTACTCCTGTCAGAAATCATGTCTAAAAGTCATGAAGTAGACGGAACGACAGGCTGAACAGTTCACTCTCCCTCTTTAAGGAGCATTCGGGCATCAAGCAGACAGCAAAGATTATCTAAGTTGGCAAAGACTAAAAGGGTAATATATATTCGTGAAGTTTTATTATCGAGCACTCTCTTAATAAGTACAGTGGTCGTTGCATTCAAATACTTCACTCCTGTTCCTGCAGCATCATCGCATTTTGGAAATATGTTAACAGTGTCACAGATATAAGCAAATGTCTGCTTGGGACATCGAGAAGAGAAAAATGTTGATTTCTATCCATAGGTCTTTGTTTCACTGCACGTATGTGAAATGGAATTAAATAGTGTGTTGAAGTAAAAAGTAGTGCTATGAAGTTGTGAATCAATGAGCTTGTGACTTTCCAAAGATCATGTTGGCTGAAACGCAATGTTAAGCATACCAGGCCACTATCATCTTCCACAAGCAGCGATAGTCGGATAATAAAGTTGGAAAGGCATTAGCGATCGTCACACTGAAATGTGGCACCTACTCATGACGTTCATTACGATCGGTCTAAGGTATATCGAGAAGTGCATATTTTGTGTCTAAGAATCTTCAAATGTTCAAAATAAATGACTGAAGACCCTTGCTTGCTCCGAAACCTATCACAAGGTTAGCTGAATTCACATCTTGACGCCTAGATTCTTTTAACTAGTTTTTAAGAAACAATTTTCCTTTCACACATTACTGATTTAGTAAGAATACAGAAAACAAAACTTACGGATGAGTTTCATCTGGCTTTTGTAGCGATGAGTATAGACCGTAAGCGACCAGAACCTTAAAAATGTACAGGTAATTAGAATTATTTACTAAACGCATAATTGACGAGTAACAATCTTCAAGAATTAATTAAAATTTATTTTAACTCCACACAATAATGTCTGTCTGTTTTCGACATAGAACTTTGAAATATGTGCGCCAGTTCAAGTCACCACACTCCATGTAGCACACAAAGCAAGAGAAAGTAGAAGAAATGCATAATATCGACAGTAAACAGAGGTGTGAGACAAAGGAGTAGTAATAACGAAGAACAAAACAGTTTCATTGGAAATCATAAGTCACAAGGGGTGAATGCATCTGCGCCACTGAGAACGATTTTAAGCCATGTCACCAATTATTTCCAACCATTGGTTTTTACCGTCCCGAGGACCCCAACCAGGAAGTCTATACATTCCTACGTGGCTTAGACTAACTGTTGTAGATTTCATTGACTGGTGCCATGTTTCGTTCGACCGCCGCTAGCTCTTTCCCAGCCTGAACCTATATCAGCTAACATTGCCCGTCGGTTGAGGGAAGCAATGGCTAGGCATGCCCTAACCATCTCAGTCGATGTAAATTCACAGCCTCGTCGATTGATTTCCCCTCCTTACCTAGCACTCGACGCCTAACCTCAATATTGCTCACCTTATTATACCACTTCATACGGGAGATAGAACGCAGACATCTATGATCGAAGACAGCTAATCTTTTCATGTCTTCTGCTCTCAATGGCCAGGTCTCACAGCCATAAAGGAGGACGGAGCGGACTGTTGAGCAGTACACACGCCCTTTGGTCGATAGTCGGATATCGCGTCTACGCCAGAGACGGCGTAAACTGGAATATGCGAAACTAGCCCTCTGTTTCTGTGCTGAGATTTCGTCAGAGATCAACCCGTTGGGGCTGATGGTACTTCCCAAGTAAGTGAAGCGGTCAATGTGCTCTACCACTTCACTTCCTATTTCTAAAGTAGGAGTCGGTGTAGTCCAATCCTGTAACATCATCTTACATTTGGCGGGAGCGAATCGCATGCCAAACATTCGTAGATTGCGGCTCAAGGTGTTCAGAAGACTCTGCATTTTGTCAGCGTCCTAGCCTAGAAGGATTATATCGTCTGCATATTCTAAGTAAACGAGATTATTACCTGGTAGCAAGTCAATCCCTGAGTCGCTGAAGTGAGTTAGGGTTAAGTCCATTAGTACATCTATGGTGAAGTTGAATAGAAATGGGGATAATGGGCATCCTTGACGGACGCCACTATTCGTCACCACTTCAGATGACAACTCGCCGTAAGGCCTCACCTGGCTGCATGAGTACGAGTAGAGTGCCACACGATAATGGTGTATATCATGGGTCAGACCTATGAAGAGCATGACAGAAAGAAACATGTTGTACTACGGAAGATTAAGTATCGGTCTGACTGTTATTCAAAATGTAAAACAGCACAAGTTATCAGGGCATTACGTAAGACAAGACAAAGAAAAATTTATAAAACCGAAATGACAGCGATGATGATTCAAAAATCAAGTGAACTACGGAAAAGCAAGCTAGAAAACAGATAAGGGCAAATATTCGGACTTAACTCAACATGAAGGAAATATGTGTACCTAAACCAACGACAATACACCTGATGACAGTAAAGATCTCTGTGAAACAAGACTTACAAGAAATGTATCAAGACTAGGGAAACGAACACGAAGTTCAGCATGGATATCTTTTCGGTGATTTCATTCTCAACAGCTGTACGATCGCACTTAAATATATATATATATACGTTTACATAGATACAATTGTTATTTGTTTAATTCCACGTAGTAACGAAGGTAATTAAGGGTTATAATAGTTTTCAACTTGATACGAAAGTTTGAATATGTGAATGTAGATTATAAGGGCTTAGAGACAAGATTACATAGGATTAAAAAAGTTACAATGTATGGAAAATTATTATTTGACAACTGGCGAAATAATTTTAATTTTAAATTGATAGGAAAATTTGAAGGTGTGAATATAGATTACTAGGGGCTTGGTAATAAAATTATACAGGATCAGAAAATTATTTTTTAACGACTGAAGGTGTGAATTGGATGAGCATGAGAACAAGCTGATAGAATAATTTTTGAAACTAAAAAAGGGGAATGGAAAAACGGAATCAAAGGAGAAAAACCGAGCTAGGTCCATGGTAAATGTAGGAGTTGAACCAGTTTCTTTTGAACACACAGCTCCGGTCTTCCGAGGCATATGGCAAGGGCTTTCGCAGTACAAAGAAGTCGGAAACAATCTGTCTTTCGTAGATTTTTGTTTACTTTGTAAATGACTCTGAATGATGAGTCAAAGGTGTTCTATTATGGGCGCTCTTGATTAAACCAGTGCCTCCTCTTCACAGCCATGCTGGGTAATGTTCTCTAACACGTTTTGATAGGACCCGCATAGATAGACCTATGTACCTAGCCCCGCACGAGCAGGTGAACTGATATATACACCTTGAAGTGGTCATCTGTGGAAGCCTGTCATTCAAATTGCTCCGAAGCAGTAGGCGGTTAGAGAACATCACTCCTGGAGTTGCTGCAGTAAAAGTCTTCCTTAGGGAACTGGAGATTCTCCTTTTAAGGATATCTGCTACCAGGTCAACCCTGAATTCCAAATTCAAATAAAATGCCTTCTTTGGCACTGAAGTGTATTCTCCTCTTTTTGGCTTTGGTTTCTTGTTCTTCTGCACGAAATGCGCTGGGTATCCATTTTGAGCCAGGATGTTCTTAGGAAATAAGCCCTTCTTCTAAGCAGTCATCCCTGCAAATTATTTTGGTACAGGGAGTCAACGAGATGATGAGAGCTCGCTTACGACTGAGAGGTACCCAGCTGTAGAAATTTTTCAGGTGACCATTCCATCTTGGTTTTCTGTGGATAGATCTTTTCAGAGTTCCCTCATCTCTTCTTGTCAATTCGACGTCCACGAATGGAATCTTTGATTCATTTTCAACTTCCATTCCGAATTTAATTGAAGGATGGCAATTATTAAACTCCTCCAAGATACAATTTAAATCAGAATCATCCTGACAAACTACAAAAGTGTCATCGACGTGCCTTTTGTACAGCAGCAATTTGTCCATTGTTGATTTTAACATCCCATTCTCCAGGCTGGTCATGAAGCAATCTGCCAAAAGTGGGCCGAGGGGAGAGCCCATGGCAATCTCGTCTTTATGTCCGTAGACAACTTCGTTGAATGTAAATTGTGCGTTAAGTGTGCGCCTTAGTAACAACTCTTTCAGGTAAGGGGTTGGGTATTCCGATGCTCAGATTCTTGTCGTCCACATATTTGCAAAGGAAACATTGTTTCTGTGAGCGGCACATTTGTAAAAAGAGATTCTACGTCCAGTGATAACATTCGTTTGACATTTACATTCAAATCTATTTTTCATTCAATAAATTCAAAAATATCTCAGAGAGAGTACTTACATAGACGTTGCCTTACAGGCTCTAGCATTTCATACAGCCATTTGGCAATCGGATGCTATGGGGATCCCACCATATCTAAAATTGGTCGAAGTGGCAGACCTGCTTTGTGCACCTTCAGTAGACCGTAGTTGCGGGATTAATTGATCCTGTTGGTTTCAGGCGTTTAAATAGGTGTTCAGTTGTGAGGGAGTTGTTCTTCATTCTGCTAAGGACATCTGTCAGTTGCTGTCCCATCAGTTCTATCTTATTCTTCTCATTGTTTGGTTTTGAAAATTTGCTATCATCTGAGATCAGAGCTGTCAATTTATTGGTATACACGTATATATCTATAAGGACCACTCCTGAACCTTTGTTTGGACGTGTAATGATTAGATCTTCGTTGTTTCCCAAGTCTTTGAGCTGCTGTTTGTGTTCCTCTGTGGGGTGTCGGACTTTAGTTTTTGAGTTGAGGTATTGGTAGCAGCAGCCGAAGAGTGTAGACTTGAAATGTAAGAATTCTGCATCAGAGACAGCGGTAACGTCGCTTGTTTGACTGATAACATTTTCGAATTGGACATACGTGTGGAGTCTCTTACTAAATAGATTTACGTCACAAAATTTCGACCCTAAAGATAGGGCTTTTAATTGTAACGCCGACAATCTAACGGAGGAGTGACTGAAAACAAATTTATTGGGTTGGATGGGGAACTTCTTTTGTGCTGCGACGGATTTGAAGCTCTTGTTCATATCTGATTTAAAATTCTCAGCTCGTTTGCTCTGCCCCAAGGTAACATATTCATTAAACGATTCTCTTTCACTTGATGATAATTCGCAAAGAGCAGAAGACCTCTGTGATATATTTGTCTGCAACTCGAATATGTGCGAACTAATAGAATCAATAAGGTTTCTGGTGTGACGTTGAAGAGTTTTGGAATTGGGATAAATATGATGTCTCTGGAGTGCCTTCCAAAACCACTTCAGATATTGCTAATTCTTAATGCAGTTTTCAAAGAAGTGCAATTTCGCATTGACTTCGGTAAGTTAAACAGAGTAGCGTAGAAACCCATTAAGTTCCTTCACTGTCGAAGGGTCCTTCCATTTCTTTTTAATTGTGGAAAATACCCATTGGGACATTAGAGGGAAAAAAAGGAAGTTCAAGAGAAATATCTTTTTGGAAATCGCCGAAAAGATATCTTTGCTGAACTTCTTGTTCTCTTGTTTCTAATGTGGCGATGAATATTTTCCGTGATTTAAATAAGGTATCAAAGGAAAGAAGTGGTACAGTTTGGGAGACTAAAGATATTAGAGGACTTATTAATCCTACTGCCACTTAAGCCACCTTTGCACATGCAACAGTAAAGCCGAAAAAGAGGGGGGGTTGGGTGTGAGAGGCTAGCAGTGGCACCCTGTAAAGACAACACTTTAAAACGTGAAGCCGTATTTTCTACTTAGTAGGCAAGGAATGAGAATGAATAACAACCAGGTCAACGCAACCATAGTTTTTAACTCAAATTTATTGAGCAACTGAAAAATAAACTAGAAAATGAAAAAATGATATGAACCCATGTACAAAGGTTTACGTGAACTCTCAGGAGAACGAATCGAAATCATATATATCGCATTCCATCCATGGGTAGCTGAAACAAGAGTGCTATTTTGCAAAGTATTCTATCAGACGTTGAAATCGCTAAGTTTGAGAAGTTACCGGTTATTAGTTACATTAATGACAACATTACTAATTGTTGCCGCTCTTGCCAAAGGAACATCAGGGGAATATAGTTGGAAACACATATTGTGTTTCTGAAAAAACCAAGAGGTAATACATCGTTTCTATATATACCGAGTGGAATGCTTTTATTGATTTTTCAGAGAAATAACTATGAGCAGTAAGAAAAATATAAACTTATAGAAAAGTCCGAAGCAGTAACGCAACAGACATTCATGAGAAACCACCAATAATTTACTCACTAGCTTCAAAAATATAATAATAATAATAATAATAAATGGTAGTGAAACACAATCACTTGGAAGGTGAACAGGAAATTTCATAATGTAATGACTGATTACATCAATTCTAATAAAGCAGGTAACGTTACAGTATAAAATACCTGATTCAGTGTATCTGCAAGTGAGTGCATCATCTCGGAAAACATGCTCTTCGATCCAGTATACCACCAACCGAAACCTTTGGCTGCAACATTCAGGCTGTTTCTATTAGGAAGAAAATGTATTGAATTCAAAAAATGAGGAATGTTTGACTGTTATAAAAAAAAGTAATGCTAAATGCACTAGAACTAAAAGCAATTATTAACACATCAGTTATTAGAAATCAGAAGTTCTTAACTAATAACTACGATTTCGAAGAGCAATATATGACCTTCAAATTACTTAGTCGTGTCTGTAGTAACCAACACACAAAGGCGAAAAAAGTACTGAGAGTACTCATCCTCGTATTTCAAGTTACTACCATAAAAAGTAACAAATGTTTAAAATTCAGTCACTGATCCGCCAGTATATCTCTCCATTCCAGAACCTATTGACAAGGGGAAATGTGATCAAAGGTCTCTCGTCTCAAAATCTGCCAAACTTTCTGCTTATCCCTCCAGAGAATATATTACGGTTCCATCCTCCTCGGAAGTTTCATTTATTAAAGCTTTGGTAGGGATGGTTTCTTCTAGTAACCCTAAACAGTTTTTGCAAATCACTCAATGCTGAAGTCTTTCCTATTTTCCTTCACTTCTGTTGTTCCGGGCTGTTAAGCAGACCTTTAGTAATATATGCTCCACGCCATACTCGAGGTCCTCCATAGTCAATCAACTCGGAAGAATCACTGGACTTTGTCAACTGTCTTCACTATTATTTAGACAGAGGACTGAAGACTGTGTCGAGCTTCTACAGGTGTAGGATAGATGATATATAAATTTAGTTATATCTTACCTAAACCTATAAGCTGGTATTTTTATCAACTAATTGACCCCTATAAGTCAATAATGAGACTTCGCTATACAACCCTTACCATAGTGTGAGTAACTGAAACTACGACAGTAACTGCTTTTAATTTAACAACAAATCATCCCGGCTTACTGTAATGGTAGTTTCAGTCATTTTTTATTTTTCTTATTCACTGTGAATCTTCAAAATCCAGCCTAAATGCATCAGGTGATTTTTCGGCTAGTTTTCATGACTTGCTGGTGTGGCGATATCATGAAGATCTTGAGCATAAGATACACTGCCTGGTTGTGTTTCAGTCGATAGCCACCTTTGTTACATAGAGATGAGTCAGTCCGTAAAAATAGGGAGGGGTAGTAACTTGCACCCACGCACCCATCAATTGAAACCCGGATGAATTAAGGGACTAGAATAATGTGATACGCCAACTGGATCATAGCGTAAAGATAGCAGGTAACATGTTCCACACTGAGGGAAGATGATACAGTCAGAGTCGCTGAAAGCAGAACACGTTTTAGCCAACTGAATCAGATGAAGTTTACGACAGAATCTTCCAAACAGCTAATACCGATCACGCGAAAGATAGCCATTGAAAGTGGAAGACATGAAAAGGTTAGCTGCCTTTTATCATAGGTGTCTGTGTTTTATCTTCCGTGTTATGTGGTATAACAGTGAGTAATATTGAGATGGTAAGGCATCGTGTGTTAGATAAGGAAAGTCAATTGATGAGGTTGCGAAGCTACATCAACTGAGATGGCTACATATGTGTAACACATGTCCTAGCCATCACCGTCCCCAACGGGCGGTGTTACCTGACACACGGTCAGGTTAAAAAAGAGCTAATGGTAGTTAAACCAAACCTGGTTAGACTCGGCATTAGTCTATTAAATCTTTAACAGTTAGTTTAAGCCATGCAGGGAGGTGTAGGTTTCTTAGTTTGGGTCCTCGGGATCCTAAGAACCAATGGCTGTAAGCAGTTGGTGACATGGCTCAAAATTATCCTCAGTGGAGCAGATGCATTCACTCTTTATGATCTGCCAAATCTATTAAACCGTCATGTTTCTCCATGTTACCATTCTTTCTCCATCACATTTCTACTTATTATCGTTAATTCGAATCTCCTTTATTCTCTCTTTTGTCTGGCTTTGTGTGCTACATGGATGGAGGTGTGCAACTCGAACTTCTGTACTTCTGTGCAAGTCAGTCCGATCATGTTTTCATACGTTGTTACATTTTTTGGGGTCTGCTGTAGTAAAACCAAACCAAATGGTACATAGCATACGAACTCAAAACGAAATTCCCCATCAAAGATGAAATTCACTTCCGAAATACTTCATGCCAACTGACAATACAAATAGTGAAGAGCAGCTAGTGAATACAGATGCGTTACACTAAGTTTACATAACAATCTTTAAATTAAAATGTGGGAAAATCTAGCACTAACTTACACTGCTATGGCAAACAGAACGACACGACCGGGACCTGATTTAAACATCCTTTGTCGTTTATCTACGAAGACCTGCTACGAGAGTATAAAACAAGTAATAAGGAAATTAGTTCATTTGTGAAATAAAAACATTACAGAAGATACTCACTGACACACGAACAAAATCTTAAACACTACACAAAGATCCCCTATTATAGCAAAAGGTAGGACAATACTAGGCGGACAAGTCATGATATTTGAATGCAGGAAAAAGAATACGACAAAAAGATTCACTGCTAGAAATCCAAAACAAGCAATAATACAGAGGATAACTCGGGCTGAAGTGAGATGATGTTTCGAACTCTAACCGTGATCCAAATGCATCAACTGAAAGTCAAATGACATCACTAACTAGGCAACCAGAGTTCAAATGATCATATTCCTAAAAACGAACTGCTACACAAGGCCAATGAAATGCCATCTCTATTTCAATGCTGTTTTTAAGAGTATCAGTATTAGAATTCCAACTTGCAAGCTTGATAGAAAATCGTAGGAATTCCTAAACAATGGAGAATATTCAAAATTTTATTGGAAAATATTACTCCGTAATCACATTTACTCTAATGGTCGAACACTTTCAAACGCCATACGTTGAATTTGATCAGTGCCATACAAACACGCCTTTTGAAACTAGCGAATAACTTATTCCAGCGTATGCATTTCTCATTCAAACTAACAGACACGGCATGTAGTTTATTTGACGATTATGTCTGACGTGACAAGGAAAAGATCCGAAGGTACCGAAACGTTTCAAGACAACCGAATCCTAAATGAAGTTTCCGGATTCAACAAAGAAATATGTCTTTAATTACTCTAGTATATCTCTGCCTGAAATTCAGACGCAAAGCTACAGTTCGATAATCCTACGACTCAGACACAGGACTTACTTCCAATGTCTAGTGAAGACTTCAACAATTCAAGTCTGCCATACCGCATTGTTACTATCAATATTTAAAAACGCAATTTAGACGACATATGATATCAAAAGAACATAAAATACCATTAAATGAACTGTTGAGTAACAAGGACATAATACTAATGAGTCCAGATAAAGGACTAAGCATAGTTGTTTTAAATCGTGAAGATTACATTAATAAATTACGTATCATTCTTTTTGACGAAGGCAAATTTTTAAAATCAACCGACCAGAAAGACAGAACGGAGAGTAGTGAGAAGGAGCTGTCAAAAAACTGAGGGAATGGAAAGCCGAATCCATTGTTACTCCGTATGTGTATGAACACCTTGAGTCGACCAGTTTAATCATACTCTGCTTTTAATGTCTTCCGAAGGTGAACAAAGATGCTGTCCCTCTGCGATCTACATTGGGTATGCTAAACTCGCCTTATCATTCTACAGCTAGCTACATTACTTGCTGAAATTCTCGAACCATCGAGATCAAATCTATGTAAACATAGTTTTTCGGACAATTGACTTCGTCGGTCGCGTTGATGGAGTTAGTGTGACCGTAAACATAGGATTTCATTAGATTTTTCTTCATTTTTTAGAATACATTGCTAGTATAAACTATGTTATCCGTTTGATTACATTGATCTAAAAAGCATAAACAGTGGATTGCCAACAAACTACCTGAGGTAGCTATTATTGAGATGCACGCTCAATGTGCAATTTAGATATAACTATGTCATCTACAATCGAAGGAATGTAGTTGCCATGGGGTTTCCTCTAGGACCTCTTCTAGCGGATATCTTCATGGCGAGCCTAGAGAATGGTGAATTGAAAAAAACTGTTTGGAGCCTGCATATGCGTAAGAGTTACATAGACGACACCTTTATTATTCGGGATGATAACTGTTCAACTGCTGAATTTCTCGGAAAATTTAATGTTTCCCACCCATCTATGCCTTTCACTATAGAAGATGAGTCGAATTCTGCGTTTCAACTCTTCGATGTTATGCTAGATAATGGAGGATGGTACGTAGAAAAGGTAGATTTACTGGAAGCCAACATTTACAGGGCAGTACACTAACCCCAACAGTTGGGTACCTGTAGGCAGAAAGAGAAATCTAATCCGTTCTCTATGCTCCAGAATTCTAAAACTCTGCTCTACAGAAGCATTCGATGCAGAACTAGGAAACCTTCCCACAACTCCCTTAAGTAATGGATATCCTAGAAGGTTTATCGGAAGAAATACCAAGGAAGAAACCGTCCCTAGCCAAATCATAGTGCCAAAGAAGGTACTATTTACGAGTTTGGCGTTCGAGGGTGACACTAGGACTGAAGTGATTAAAAGTCGCCTATCTAAATGCAGTAAACACTCTTTTTATGAAGCTGACTTACACTTAGTGTTCAACCAACCGAAATATGACTCGACAGTGCGTCAAGGATAACCTACCGCTTATGTCTATCTCTATGTATACATACTCTTCCGCATGCTCGTGTGGAGCTGATTGGATTAGAAGTTGCAAGCGTACGCTCCGGAAACGTGCAGTTGAACATTACCCGGTTTGGTTAATCACAGGCGAGAGTAGGATGACAAAGTCTGCAATTTGTGAACGCTTTCTGGAGTCAGGTTATTCAACTCCAGGTGATTTATCCTTTAAAGTTATCCATAGGAACAAAGCTTGCGTTTTCTCCACATATGCATAGTCAAAGATCTATCCATACATGGACAAACCTAAATAGTGTTTAGAAACCTTTTGTTAAACCCCTTTCTTCACCTTAGTTCTTAGTAACGTTTTTATTTTATCCTATTTTTCCACTTGAATTCACTCCACTTCTATTCATCTTTGCCCTCTTTATGGTTATCACTATCGTTCTCTTAATTTCTGAGAGCATGACCTACTTTTGAAGTCTTAATATCAATTCACTGATCCAAGAATGTGTAGAAATAGTTGCGGAAATTAGGGAAAGAATGAATGGTAAATATCGGAAGCATGAGAATGTCAATGGGGCTAGTACAAAAATTTATGTGACATGGTGTATCATTTGACGTAGGTAACACGTTACACGGAATGACGGGCCTCAATTTCAATGTCTGATGATCACCGAGATAGTTTCAGTTAGAAAAAAAAGCTAAAAAAGGCTTGAAATAGACTATGAGAGCTACCACTATGGATTGTCACCCCGCTGGAGAAACCAAGATGCTGAGTGGTGACTCCATATGTTAAACCTAAAAACTACAGTAAAACTCGTAGGTGCCTAGATTACCTGCACTAAACCTTAACACCATACACTCTTCTTCCCCCTTGGTAAGCTTTTTCTTTTCACATATTATACTACTGAATCTGTGTACATCCTTTTTAACTTACACTGCTATTTTGACTGGGACTCCAACAATATGTGGTGATTCGCAATTATTTAGTGTTAGTCTGTATCGGAATTATAAATGAGTTCTATAAGAGGTACGAACACCTCAAAGGTAGACGCAAAATTCTCACCACTAGACAAGCCATCAAATTAATGAAAAGCAGTTACAGATTGAAGTGAAAGAAACTTCAGGCACTACAAGAATTCAAGTTATCACTCAAATAAAAATTAATGTTCATCATCTTTCACAATTACGCTCTCAGGTAAATGACCATCGTTTTACAGGTATTTATATGATCAGGTTATTAGCAGAAGTAATTCCATGAATACGACAGTAATCATTCTGTTAGAAATTCCTACAATATAAGACTGTAATGTGAAGTCGAAATCAGTGACCAAACTTTATGATATAGTCGTAAGAAAAGTTACAGATATTGAGTACGTTAAAAGCTAGTTACTGGATCAATCAAAGTGATATTCCAGTGAAAGAGTAGAAGAATATGGAGTCTAGTAGATTATCGGGAGTAGTTAATGGTTTTGTAACATACTGCAGGTAATTTTTCAACTCTCCTCATTCATTGGAATAATTCTCGATTTACTGTAGGACAACGAAGATAGTGGCTTCATGTCTGGAAAGTAGGAATGAACTAAGGTGTTCCCAATAGCGCTAAGAATATGATTTAATATAAACGCTTTTTTGTTGCAGAAAATACATAAAAATAATTGTTTTTGAATCTAATTTATGGAGTTATCACACCATTCTTACAAGGATGCAGACCAGACAAATTAGTCTCAAATACATCTCCCAAGTGAAGCCAGTTTACATTGTTGATAATAACGTCACATTACAACTTTAACATCACGTCTTTAAGAATTTCGTCCCATTCTTAACACCAAAGCTTACTAGGCAAAATGGAACTACTGGACGATGCTAACTTAGGTGACTCCCTAAAGAGGAATGCATATTTGCGGAAGCCGATGCCATATGTATAATACGAACTCTAATGAAAAGGGTACTAGGCATAACGTTAAAGAAATTACGAATTTAGCATACAGTAAAGCCAGTAACGATTTTGGTTACATAGGAAAAGAACATTTATTAGAGCTATCGAAAAGTTTTTGCTCAAAAAATAGAACCTACGTGCCCGCGTTTTGGCTTACAGTAACACCTGTAAACACATTATAGGTCTATTTTTACAACAATCACCTATGCAATATTTATAATCACACCACAATGTAGGAACTGAGAAAAGTTATTAAATGTTTTGGCATCGAAACATTAGCAAACATATTTGAAAGTTATCTTTCCAACTGGATAATAACATGCATTAGTCATGGTAAAAAGAAAGCAGATGCATTCTGTTTAAAATAGGAGGACACAACTCAACCAAAAGTCTAGAGACCCATCACTTAACTACGTTTATTTGTTTTAAGTACTGTGTTCAGAAACCCTAAAAAGACTACAGTGGAGTGAATACAACAGTGTGTCGGTAAAAGATGTATTGCTTCACTTACCAACTAAACCTAATTCAATTAAAATGCATATAACTTACATGTGTCCCAGTTGCTTTGGCTTCAACTGCGCTTCGTAAGTACTTTAAAGCCTTCTTCATATTAAAGATATCTAAAGAATGGTGAGAAGGCTTAATTTCAATCACCTGACTTTGTCCTTCTTTCCATATCTTTCATCAATTTCCGTCGAAGCTCAAAGACGTCATGACCACCATGTTTTGAATATGCCCTGAAGAAAATATTTGAGATTATACTGTGCTTTACATCTGTTCCACATCCGAACGTAAGAAAACGAGCGTTTTGGTTTCATTCCCATACGGGCTTCGGCTATAATACCGCGGTAATTGATCTAAATCTCTTCAAGCATTAAAAGTGAAGTTGTTTTACTGTTTTGTCAGCATATATTCCCTCAACGCTCTTAATGGAGTTATATATTTTACAGACTTCACAGAATCGTCGTAGAACAAATTTGTTTTTATTTTCGGAACCACTGAAACTCAATTAAGCAGAAACGTATATATACCCTTTGTGTTCACTTTATCAATGGGAGAATCACCGGTGTTCTTGGAGGAGGAATTTACGTAGCATTTTGTTATCGAAATGCATGTATTACATGATATGAAGGATTTATTAGGTACGGCAGGGGAGAGAATATACCGCCTGTTAGCAGAAAATAAGGGGTAGCCAATATGATTCACAGCCCGTTTTATTATGAAATGACCGGACTTAAGGTATGCATTCTGCATAACGCAGTCAAAAGTCAACTAATTGTCCTGGGCGCCTCGGAAATCGAATGACCTACAACGCACTCTCAAATGCGCTCAACGGAAATGAACTAAGAAACCACTTAGTTTATATAAATGTGAAACAGGACAGTGTTTCTAAAGCACAGCAATAACAGTACAGTTTAATATTCTAAGACGTGGATAAGCAATCAATGTTTCCTTTCCCAAATTTCCTAGACGGTCACTTCATTTACAGTCAAAAGCATTTGTGCGGAAGAAATATGAGAAGTCTATCTAAAATTGTTTTTCACTAGTTTTGGGAAAATCCCACCAAATTTTTAGTAGAAAAGCTCCGAGTATTTCTGGAAATATCCACACAGGTTTTCTCCGAAAATGACGTTAGGGCCATAAGTCACTGCCGGGTGAGATGATATTCACCTTCTCAAGGTCACAGCACCAGAACTAGCCTAGGAAGGATGAGAGAGCTTCTAAGGTGTACACCTTCACCACCATATTTGGGGAAAACATCAAATGAACTAACCAAAGGAGATATATAGGCCTTTTGGACTAAAAAGTAGCATCTAAGAAATTATGGGTGAAATGATGCTCTGATATGATGTCAGCGCTCATCCGAACGGATGCCGGAAGATCGTGTCAAGATGCTACTTTGAGATATGTTTTTGTACTGTCGTACTCTTTCTTAAATAATACTAGTACTAGCCTTCCTGACGCTCTATAAATGTACTAAGGACCACAGCATGTCACGTTAGCCACGGAACTATTACCCTGTCACTACTATGTTCACTCTTCCAGTGATATTTAACTCTTCTGTGATCAAGGAATATCAGTAAATAACGCTACTGAGGTGTTGGAAAGCAGTCTTTCCCTAAGCCATCCTGCTTTCTGTATAGGGGAAATTATTTATCTTCATTCAGGGTGACGGTTTGACGCCCATATATATGTTAGCGGGGATTTGATACCTTCATGAATTTATGGCTAGTCAGCTAGTAATGTATGTGTCAGGTGCCATTGATATCGTGGTTGTGTCAAGGAAGGACACAGCTTGTGACTTTTAACATTTGAATATCACCTTTGGGTGGGATAAACACTGTGAGTCTGAAGCTGTCAGGTTCTAAACAATCTTCTGCCTGGAGTTTAAACAGCTTTAAAATATTCCTTCCATGTGTGTGATGCAGTATAACCTTATTGTATGATGTGGCAACCTCTTCATGAAACCAAACGCCTCATACGACGACACAATGTGCCTGCGCTGACTGTGTATTAAGGCGAGAGATCGAAAATTTCTTTCAGGATTAGTTAACATCTGTCTGATTCTACTCTTTATGAGGCTAACCCAGTTATTGTTCAGGCATATGTGGGACTTTAGATATGTTTGACTTCGTAGGTGCGGAATATTTTTGGAATTCTTGGCTCACTGGTCTACTGCATAACCTTTGATGTGTGCATCGACGAGGGTTGAGTTTGAGCAGCAGTAGGTGCACTATTGCTCAGAGTTTTGCGAGACCCATCTGTCCGGCGTCCTGGATTCCCCCGCTAGCCAGAAGCAAACAAATTCCTTTCAGCCTCTTTCATTCAAGAAAAAACCAAGGAGGACTGCCGAAATCATTGTTCATTTCCTTGTGTTTTCTCGTGACGGTTTGAAGTGGTTCGCCTCCTCTTTCTCAGTAGTCTTCTTTATAATGTTGTGAACACCGAAGAACGTGTAATCTTCTGAACAGTTTGTGAACTTCTAAAAGCAGTTCACCCATAGCATCCTCATATTATCTACTTAGGTCGTTTTTTCTGATCATATCCGAATTCGGCCTTGGAGCTTCACGTGTTCTAATGATCATGACATGTTAATTAAGGAATTTAAAGTTTACAAGCTCCCAAGGGGTTTCCCATTAGATCAAGCTAGCACTTAAGACTAATATCATGACTCCTGATGTCAAATTTATTGTGTCTAATGGTGCATGTGGGAAATTTATTTTTTTCATACATCCTAACAACGCAGGCCAAGTGAGCTTTTCTTCACTGACAGAAGTTTTTGCATTCACTGTGGACTAGTACCACATGTTACTCCTTCACCGAAAGCGATGTTTATCAGTGGCTAATAAATCCCCTTCCTAAGGACGCTAGCAGGAAAAGCTGACTAATTCTCTAGTTGACTAAGTGAAGTAATCTCGCAAGATTTATTTATCACAAAGATTAATGTGGCTGCCGCATTTTTAAAATTACGAACAACTTAATGTGGCCATCGCCTTCTTTAACAGACAGAATTCCGGCTTGTAATTTCTCTTTTCAATTGCCAGAAGTTTTCGCCATTTAAAAACCACCTGAAGGAATGCACAAATAATGAACAGTGATCAGGGTTGGAACAATACTCTTAGTTGATGATTTAATTTTGAAAGTAATTATATTAGTGCACAGTAAAAGAGGTCCGATCTGGACAGCTTATATTTGAAATAGTCCAACTGCCAACTTTCAAGCCTACTTATGTTTAATTCACTGTGGCTTGTCAGAGGTAACTGTATGTTGGATGTAGGAATTTTTCACAAAAATCAATCTAAGTGAACAGGCTGTAGAAATATTTCGTGTGTCCACGAGACAATGACATATATAATGTAGTGAGAAGGGGCTTCAAAGATCTGAAGGATTAGGACCTGTGGGACATGCTGACCAGTAAGATGTTTCACATATTTGTGAAGGGCCTTTGGGGCAGCATCTTGTCAAGAGGCTGAGCAGACTTGTGGGTATTAGAAGTAGAAGAATTAAAAATTTAGATCTAAGCAATTATCATCGTTCTTTTTAAGTTAAGGATGTAAACTCATGTTTAATTTTCGAGCTGTGAGAAAGTGCATGTCATTGTCCTACAGATCCCAGCGATCAACATTTGTGACCACCACCACATCTGCTGATCAGCGTGATCCACCTCCCTTGCTTTTGATGTTAAGCTGTGAATTTTTTTGCAATAACCGTAGTTGTGGCATTTCAATGCTTTGAGCCACAATTACTCAGTATACTGCACATTAATAGATTTCATAACAAATGTTTCCGCTGGTGTCACCTTCGAGCACTCATCACCACTGCTTTAATTCAAGCTTCATTACGAATCACACCAAAATTTCGGCTGTACCTTCTGTTTGATGGCCAAACAGTAGATCCAACAGGTTCTGTATTAATTATGTTTTCGTCGGTAATCTCGCTACTTCTGACACTTGTCATGTTTCCTGGGCGCGAAATTACAAGAATTCTACTGTGGCACATGAGATGAAGTGTTATGAAAACCAGCAAGGCGTCACAGTTACTTTCTGTCATAAACTGAAGCATACCATCCTTCTTCCAGCTCGGAAACACGTTGCTCATGTAGCTGTCAGTCTTCCAGATGGTAAAATTGCTTTGGTCTATTAAAATGTAGGAACTGATTGTGAAAGACCAAAAGCTCGAACTATAATTAAACATGAACAAACACTTGATGGTAATGGGATCTGTTAAATGGTTTCGGATTGTCTGCAACTACTGCTATATCTACAGATGACTCCCCCGTAGTGAGATTGTTAGTGCCTTAGGACGAAACTAACCGTTAGTAAAAGGCTAAAGTTAGCACTGTTAGTAACACTCTTCAGATGGGTGTAGGGGTAATGAGTAGCTTACTGGTTGTATGACTATGCTTGTGTGCCATATGCTCATCTTTTCGTCAACGACCGTCGGTTAGTTGTCGTGCTTCGTCTACTTCTTGTCCGGTGACGATCGTTAAAGAAAAGAGGTCAGAATTCTGAGAACTCGATTGAAATAAGAGAAGTATCAGTTGGCTTAGAACATACAAGGACAATGTAAAAAATAGAATAGTCTGGACATAAAATATTAATTTGTTTATTGGGCTTATCACATGGTGAAACAGTACTATTTACTGGATAACGTTTCAAGCACAATTTATTGTTCACAATCATATCAGTTGTAATCACACAACTTGGAAACTTGAGTTTTATAGTTTCCTTTGTTCCTTCCTATTTGTCGTCGTTGGGGTAGTAGAATTTTCCAGATATCTGGGATAGGTGTTGAATCATTCTTATAACGCGCCTTTGCAATTGATTCGGTAAACAAAGCTTCAGTTATCACTGTATTCCTCCACCCTATTACACTAGAGTTTAGAAATCTCATTTCATCGCATCCGATAGTAGTGTGAAATTGCATGTGGTGTCTTAGCTGAGCCATTTCCCAGATTTCTTATTTTTTTCGGTCAACTAATCCAGATTTTGCCAGATTTTTATGCTCCGCTATTCTGACTGTACCTGTTTTACCACTTCGACCTATGTATTTGACCTGACAATCATTGCAGGGTATTAGAAAAACTAAATTGTTTTGTTACATTGTCTTTACAAGATCCTTGAGCTGACAAAGTACGCTTCCAAATGGGTTTGTGGGAGGTTTGAACACCACTTTTAATCCTACCAGAAATGTTAAGAATTCTCCGTAAGGTTTCTGAGGTCACATAAGTATATGTTTAAAACGTTTTCCTCTGTGTCTCGTAAAGGACTTTTGGTGCTTTCACAGTGACGGTTACCTCTTCGAGTACTAGCGGGTATTCTGTCAGCTGGGTGTCATCTGCAGCCAGTAGTTTGGGGTTTATATAATTGTTTTCTGTGAATGCCGATTTTAGACGGTCGACACCATAGCTGTCTTTGTAGCCGATGTTTCGGAAAACGAAGGTTGAATTAACAATATTTTTCTTATCCGGCAAAAGTCTTTGACCTAAGTATGTGGGTGGTTCCCTTGATAGATAGTTAAGTGGCAGAACCCATCAGTTATCACAAACAGTCATTTAGCAGCATGTCGTATTGGTCAAGTAGTTCATAGCCTATGACAGCCACAGTAACGTCAGTCAAAAGAAATATGTACTACATAGTCTTGTGCGAACCTACCTCAATCGGTTTATTCAAATGTTCTAAGTTTCTGTCAATCTACTGCACCGGATTGCACAGCTTAGTAAATTTTTTGGGATATTTTACCGACAATACCTTGTCATTAGTACATGGTGGATAAAGTTTGTACCTTGGGAAGATAACATGGGTTTTTACTTCCATTCTCCGTGGAT